AACTGCCTTCACCTCTTCCACTCTTGCCTCTCCAATATGATCTCTAACATCATCCAGGACAACTGTCTTCAGACATAAGGTGGATCATGTTACTTCCCTGCTGAGAGCCCTTCAAAAACTTTCCTGTATTCTTGATCTTGCCATGATCTGGCCATGTCCACTGTCCACCTCTTCTCTAATACTCTCCTCCTCACTCCTGTTATAGGTTGAATTGTATTCTTTCCCCAAAAGATATACCTAATTCTTAACCCCCAGTAGAGGTGAATATGATCTTTTTTGGAAATAAGATTTTTGTAGATTTGATTAAGACTCTCAAGATGAAATCATTCTGAATTACCCAGGTATGTGCTAATCCAATGACTAGTCCCCTTATAAGACAAAGGAGGGTGATATTTCAGCCACAGAGACTCAGGGGGAGATGGCATGTGGAGAGACAGGAATGATGCATCTACAAGGCAAAGAAGTCTAGAGCCACCAGAAGCTAAAATAGGCAAGCCAGGATTTTCCCTAGAGTCTTCAGAGCAAGTGTTGGCCTTGCTGACTCTGATTTCTAATTCTCATCCTCAGAACTGTAAGACAATACATCTATATTGCTTTAATTAAGCCACAAAGTTTGTGGTGGTTTGTTATAGCAGCCCTAGGGACCCGATGCACTCCCTAAGCTCCAAAACAGTGATATTTCAGTTATTTAAAAGAGTAAGCTTTTTCCTTCTTAAAGATTTCTTACTGCTATCACCACGAAGAAATATCTGGCATACATATCACCTTTCCAAAGAGGACTCCTCAAAATGTAATCTGAATCAGGCCCTCCCTCCTATACTCAGAGACCTTCCCTATAGTATTTATAAGAACTTGTGACGATGTACCTATGTATTTGTTGAATGTCTGTTTTTCCTTTACACTTTATGCTCCATAAAGGCAATGTCTGTGTCTGTTATATCACCACAATAACCTCTATCTTAGCAGACACTAAAGATAGTCCTTCAGTAAATTACAGAAATAAAAGAGGACTAAACAATCTCCTTTTGTTGGTGAGTATTCTGAGAAGTGGCTCTTCCCACATTGAGTCAGTTGAAATCCACCAACCATATTAAAGTTAAATGTTAGCTGAATACTGATAAAATGAATTCCATAGATATAGGATTAAATTAAATCAATATAATATTTGAGATGAAAATGCCATTACAAGGGAAAAGACTTCATCGTCAATATTTGATCTGCTGGAGAACAAACCGAATTGCCTGCATGCACCAACCACCAGGTGTACTGGCTGAGACAGCCAACATACACAATTCAAAACCATGCCAATGAAAACCATGCAAATCGGATCCTTGGCACATGCAGCTTTTCATGAATGTGCCTGAAGCTAGGATCCTTAATATATACAATTGTGTCCCATTTCCTTTCAGCCCATAAATATGTCTAGGAAGCCACTGTGTCTCCTGCTACTTGATACACATACCAATGCACATAACAATCTATAAGTCAGATTCAGGAATGGTGTAGTATCTTGGGCAGGTATGATGTGAAACCAAATACAAAGACTATACCACCAGAGATAAGAGAAAAACCTCACAATCTTGTTTCAGGAGGAAATTCCAGGGATATTTCCACATTGTACACAAAACCAAAGAATATTAATGATAATATAACTTATTTTAATAAGGTTGCCCATTAAAAAAATAATAATAAGGTTGCCCATTCAAGTCCTTCATTTAGTGGCTTTTTTCCCCTTCCAGTCAGTAGTTCATTCATCTATTCATTCATGTGACAAATTTGCATCAATAACCTACTAGATGCTGGGCCTTATGCCATACAGTGGGAATACTGTGGTAGGCTAATTTTTTAAAAATCCTGTCTTTGCCTTCAATGAGCCCAAAGTTTGGGAAGGAGAAGCTTTATGAGCAATTATAAGGCACCACGAAAAGTGCCACATGGGAGTACTGTCTGAACAACCAGGAAAGTTCATTGAGAACTAGAGGAAGCAGAGAAACTTAGCAGAGATAAACTGGAACTGATCAGGTCTGGGGGAAGGGGGGCAGAAAGGAAGCCAGAGTCACACCCAGGAGGGTTCAGAGACAACAGAGAACATGGCAGGCCCTCAAGGCACCCATGGAGCTAGCGGTCAAAGGCAGAAAGAAAATGGACCTGGGGTGGCAGGCATGGGGGGAGAAGGAAGAAAAAAGCTAGGGAATGAAATAAAAAGGAAATCAAGATTTTGAAATAATCCATCCAGTTGTGAAAGCTAAAAGATGATACAGAGGTCTTTGTGTCATGTTTCTGTAAGAAGGAAAATATCATATTGTTTCCCAGGCATCAATTTTAGTAGGCAAGAGTCAGTAATGTTCATACAACCTAGAACATTGCTTTTCAATCTGCCGATTACAATCCACTGTGGGAGATGAAATACATTTAAGGGATAGACATCAGCATTAAAAAAAAAGAAGAAGAAGAAGGGTGCCTGGGTAGCTCAGTCAGTTAAGCATTCGACTCTTGATTATGGCTCAGGTCATGATTTCAGGGTCCTGAGACTGGGCTCAGCAAGGAGTCTGCTTGAGATTCTCTTTCTCCCTCTCCCTCAGCTCCTCCCTGCCTTCCTCTCTCTCCCTCCTCTCTCTCTCAAAATAAATAAAATCTTTTTAAAAATGAAAGGCAGTAGTATATGATACAATGGAATAGGATAGGACACATGAGAACAGACAAATAGAATAAGGTAGATCACAGAGCACTGCTCACAATAAGAGCAAGAATTATTTTGTGTGTGCACACATGCATGTGATCAGTAACAATTGCTTGATAGCCACTGACCGAGAAGTGGGTCCACACTCAGTGATGACTCTGATCAAGTCTTAACATCCCTTAGAGAGCTTTCTTAAATATTTAGGGCTTAATACTAAAACTCTTGGACCCTAGCCACAATGCAAAGTTCTTGCTCTTTGCTGTTGAGTGAATTCGCACACTGTGAGGTGGCCTTTGAAGAAGAGCTGGGCTTGGTGCCAAAGTGGAGAGTGGGAGCCTCACAGTGGCTGTTCATCTTGATGAGACGGTAAGATGCTAGAAGGGAGTGGGCCTATCACACCCAGGCACCAGGATTTCCATGAGAGTCTTCTCTATGTCACATATACCAAAAATCCAGATGATATGAGTATCTATCTGTTCATGAAAAGGGGCCCAGGCCATAAAGAAGTATTTCCCTGTAACTGCTCCTAAAACACCTCTCCACAGTCAACCACAATCTCTCCAGGAGCCAGATGCAGAGCATTTGAGACCAGAGGATAATGGCCAAGTCCTTGTTATTTAGAGCCAGTTTCTAAACACTGGTTATATTTCTGAGTGCTTCAGTGAAGCAGGTAGCATCTTTAAGAAAGGAGCTCATGATTTTTTTGCTTCCCTTTATATTAACTAATCTCTTCTAGACAGTAAAAATGTGTTCACTATACAATTTAAACCCCATGTGCCACTTTTCACCCTCCAGGAAATGCACAAATATCAGAGGAAAAAGAATTAATCTCTGTGGATGGTGTCTGGCTCTGGGTGTGGCCAGGCAGTAAGGACCATTCCTAGGCCTGATACTACTAAACTTTCCAGGGATCTTTATCTGTGAACATTTTAAAGTCACACCAATCATGCCATTTGTTGCTTGCTATGTGGACCACAAAGTTAGCAATCGGAGTTGTACAAAGTGTTGTGTATGACAGGGTTGGGGCAGGTGCTATGAGAATGTGGCGGTGTGACACTGACACCAGGCTTGAAGAAGCAGTTACTAGAACATGTGGGCAACATACCCTCCTGGTAGAGCCACCTGTGGTTGAGGGATGAACAACAAACAAGAAAGGATCCCTCGGAATCTAAAACTTGCCAGAAAGGCAAATAGCCTGTGAACTTGAAGGGAGCAATATTTGCTAAGTGTGGTGCCGAGGATTTACAATTATGTGAAGGATTAAGCATTGCACTTTAGAAGTTTGGAGACTGTTTATTTCATCAGGAACTCCTGGGAGCAGAGGTTGGCAAAGTTCTTCTGTATGGGACCGGAGAGTAAATACTCTGGGTATGTGTGCCATATGGCCATCTTTCACAACTCAATTTTTTGGTTGTAGCATGAAAGCAGACATAGCAAATAAGTAAACAAATGGACATGGCTGTGTTCCAATAAAACTTTATTTACAAAATCAGGTGGCAAGCCTGTTTTGGACTGAGAGTTAAGGTTTGCCGACTCCTACCCTAAAGCATTAAATGGCCCTCTGGAATCAAACATAAGACTAAGGACTTTGGCAAACCACACAATTGATTCTTAACAGACCTCTATGCAACTTTATAACTTAACACTATTATACCAACTAAATCTATTAAAAGATAATAACAAATGAGGCCATCTTTTGATCTTCACAAGCACTGATACCACTATTTTATTGTTATCCCTATTTTTCAGCTGAAAATTAATCTCAAGCTATTCAGTTACTTTTCCAAGGGCACACATGCTGTATTAGATAGAATTTATACACAATCATTTGGCTCAATAAAAATCAGGAAATCCAAAATCTAAATTGTTGCCTTGCAGCTAATTTCCTAGATGAAAAAGATGAACTTACTATGTTTCTAACTCTTAACGTTGAACAGAAACTTTCAAAATGATAATGGAGACCACTATGGGAAGAGGTAGAGAATTTGAGAAAGACTTTGAGTTCATGGTAATGCCAACTATAAAGAACTAAGAGTCCTTGTAAGTTTTTCCATTTCCTCACATCACACACACACACACACACACACACACACACACACACACTCACACTGAGTCCACCCGAGATTCTGGAAATAGAAAAATCTAAAATGTAGGAGGAAGCCACAATGCCAGGCCCAGCACCCGGAGGGAACTAATACCTTCTAATCTCTCAGAATCTTCTTCACCAGCTTCTCAAAAAAAATACTGACCATGGAAGCAGGAACCTCTGTTTATCCTCCACCCAGATTTCAACTGGAAGGCAGTGGAAGCCCAGACCCACCTTGTCATATGAAACGAACATCTGCATGGCTTTCACAACCTTTAGCAGGAGACCAAGTTGGGATTCTGTTAAGACTGTGATGTTGTCACTGGATCCCTCTACAGGTCCCCCAGGTGTGGCTGGGAGCACGCCACTCATAAATCGGTTCTCTGTCCCCCATGAAGAGAGATGGCCATCACCGCCAACCACTTTGCTGAAACATTTCATACACTCGCCCCACATAATGATTTTATGGGACCTGACACACAGCAACGTTCATAATCGGAACCTTAACAGGCAGCAACATGTTGAGAAAACAGCTCTGGTCTTTACTTTGCATCCCCTGAGGCATGCTCTCATTACATAACATCTCGTGCACAGACAAGAGAATCCTCCTACTTGCACACTTCAAAGGTTCGTGCATAAATATTCATCCCAATGAATGCTGTCCCCATTTGTTTCCACCTTTGGTGATGGGTAATAAGGTATTGGTCAACCACTACAATGGCCTTTATACAGAACTGTATACTTTTTATTAGTGATGTGACAATTCTTTTTTTAATAATAAATTTATTTTTTATTGGTGTTCAATTTGCCCACATACAGAATAACACCCAGTGCTCATCCTGTCAAGTGCCCCCCTCAGTGCCCGCTACCCAGTCACCCCCATCCCCTGCCCTCCTACCCTTACACCACCCCTAGTTCGTTTCCCAGAGTTAGGAGTCTTCCATGTTCTGTCTCCCTTTCTGATATTTCCCACTCATTTTTTCTCCTTTCCCCTTTATTCCCTTTCACTATTTTTTATATTCCCCAAATGAATGAGACCATAAAATGTTTGTCCTTCTCTGATTGACTTACTTCACTCGGCATAATACCCTCCAGTTCCATCCATGTCGAAGCAAATGGTGGGTATTTGTCATTTCTAACAGCTGAGGAATATTCCATTGTATACATAGACCACAATGTGATGTGACAATTCTTGTCTATCATCGAATAAAGATTTTGAAAATTCTTCAAAGTGACCATCTATTAAGCACCACTTGCCTCACTAACTCCCCTTCAAAATGATACTCTGGCCAGTGAATTTCGTTCAGTCAACCCACAAACTCCAGTGTCTGCCATTAAAACAGGCTAATTATATACCAAGGGGACCAGTACAAAGGAACTCGGATCCTTCTCATCTTATCCCTGATTTTTGTTCCTATTCATGCCTCCTCCCACCCCAAATTTTTCTGAATTCTCAAAGGGAAAAAAAAACTTTTTAAAGGGGAGAAATAAGAAGCAGTAAAGAAAAAAGTGTTTTTGATCATTTCAGAAGTAGGGGAAAAAAACCCAGGAAGCCTCTAACTATGGCCTGAAATGCCACCTCAGTGTCACGCTTCAGTGTAAACACTGTGGGTGGAAGGAAGTTCCTAAGATATTATTCCTGCCTCTCCCTAGTAGTCCACACTTTGTGATGGCTGGAGATACTTGGAAAGAGCTTTGGGGGAGAGGGCACGGCTGCAGGAGGCTTTCGGGACAGATGCTCAACCTCCTTCTGGCAGAAGGAGAGAAGCCAGTGAGGTCGACTGAGCTGGAGGGAAGGGCTCAGGTGCAGACAGTCACTGTCCTTGTGGCTCCAGCCTCTCTCTCTGGACGGCCTGGAGGACCAGCCTTATGCCTGTCTTTACTCCTCTGGGGAACATTCGAAGACCACAGGGCTTGTCCCTATCAAACATGATCCTGGAACTTTTATCTCTTTGCAGGTGTTCCAGGGAGCATCACTCATGGCAACATAACCCAGCTCAGGCAGGAAAACATCATTTCTTTAATTCTCAAAGAATAAAGGAGGAAATCTGTGTTTGCTTTGGAGCAAACCCAGACTCCATCTTCATTCATGAAACATGAAGAAAAGAGCACATTTGTCTAGTCTGAAACTTAGGTTTAATTCCACCCCATGTAGATCTCTAAGCATTTTTCAGACAAATGGGAGACTTACTACCTCTCTTTTAAGAAAAACTTCCAGAATAGTTTTACTTCATCCCTGTTGAGGAATCAATGTTATTTTATTTATCGGGGCACCTGGGTGGCTCAGTGATTAAGCGTCATGATCCCAGAGTCCTGGGATTGAGTCCCAGACTGGGCTCCCTATGGTGAGCCTGTTTCTCCCTTTGCCTATGTCTCTGCCACTCTCTGTGTCTCTCATGAATAAATAAAATCTTTTGAAAAATGTTATTTATCAGTATAAATATAAGCATTGAAAACCCTATCAGACTTTGGATCAAAATCTTCCAGCTACAACTGTGATTAAATGCAAGGTTTCCTGCTGTTACTATTTCTGTTCTCATCACAGGTGTTGGGGCCTCACAAATACAAATAGTCCTTTTCCTTCCTCTCCTCTGTCTCATGCTTTATAGGGGGCCCCATGAGATGCCCACTAGCTAGTTGATCTTTACTGAATGCAAAAATACGAGCAGAGATGTCCAGACTATAAATTACTAAAGAAGACAAAATTTAGAGCACAGAGATATTCTAAAGCTCAGCTGTACCCAGCTTTGGATTTTTTTTTTTTGAGAACTTTTGATTCTGAATAAGTTTATCAAGTACTCAAAAGCACCTAACATTCCTAAAACCAACATCAAGCTCAAGTCTTTCCCCATTGTTGCTGAAGTTGCCAAGTATCACTGATAATAATGAAAATATCATCAGTCGGGAGTGTCTAACACCTAGCAGACTTTGGGGGGGAATTTTTATCAAGTATTATTGTTTCTAGCTTTTGTTTTGGATCTGGGAGCTGATAGGCAACTAGTCATCGGGACAGGTTTAGATCATTTGCTGTTAAAAAAAAAAAAAGGTAGGGGACGCCTGGTTGACTCAGGGGTTGAGCCTCTGCCTTCAGCTCAGGGTGTGATCTCAGAGTCCCCGGATCAAGTCCCGCATCAGGCTCCCCGCAGAAAGCCTGCTCTCCCTCTGCCTATGCCTGCCTCTCTGTGTCTCTCATGAATAAATAAATAAAATCTTAAAAAAAAAAAAGGTAGAAAAGACTGGCTGGTAAATTTCCATTCATTCATTCACACCTTTACTCAGTACTATTGTTACACCCAGGGGATGGGAAATCCAGATGCAAGCGTTAAGTATATTCAGTGTATAAGTTATTATCTCTCAGAAGCTTGGATTTATTCAGCATTTGGTAGGCATTTTTCACATATGGTAAAGAACAAAGCTGATTTTCTTTTATCTGATATGTTGGCCAATGTGATAGAAATTGCCATCCACTATCATTCTAATCTTAAAATCACTCTACAACCCTGATGAGAGTAGAGAATGGATAAGGGAGTTTATGATGCCTTCAGGGAAGCACAGGAGACAGGATTTCACCAAGCAAGGCATTGTCCGACTGCCAGAAGCCCAGATGCTGGAGGTTAAGTTGTTATTTTGAAGGCAGATGAATGCTCACACAGACAGCCCTTGGGGTTGTCGATCCTTTTTAGTGTCTGAGAATACTCTAGAATAACCCAGCACGTATAAGAATACCACTTACCTCCTCCCACTGCAGTGCTGCCACCTGCTCTGCTGGGCTCAGGTTCTTCCTTCCTCCTCCCCTCCTGAGTCCTCACTCCTCCCACCTCATCTCTACCAGGATCCAGGGAAAGTTCCCCAGAATTCCCACTGGCTCAACCCTTGAGGGAGAGGCTGGCGACAATCGCTGCAGTAGTGACAGCAATGCACAGAAGTCTCTCCCCTCTCCCAGGCTGCTCTACAAAGAAAATCATGGAAGGGATACCCAGGAGGCACACCTGTCCAGCTCGGGAAGGCACAGGGCATCATCCCCCTGCTCAGCAGGAAGCCTAGAGCAGTGCCTTGGCATCTGTTATTCATGCTACCATTTTATCATGAGCACGTCAACCACACCAACCACAGAAAGAAAACATTCTAAGGACTCTCCTTCCACATTCCCATCTAAACTGTATGTGCCTGGATGTAGGGCAGGTGATCAGCTGAGAGCCAAGAGCTGGAGCCAGAAGAATAGAACATAGGGAGGGGTTAAATATGAGGGTAAGCCAGAGCCAAGAGGGGCCAAGCACCAGGTGCAAAACTTAGACAATCCTGTCCTCTGCCCAGGACTGACCAAATGCCTGGGCTTTAGCAATTCTCATGACAGTCATTATCTAGAGTTCAAATGGTGTCCTGAAAGATGAAGTGACTCAAGTCCCAGATCTCATGATAAGCTTGCAACGCATGAATGGTTTTTGCCAATAACAGATGGCAATGGGCAACTTTGAAGAAAAGCTGACGATCCACTACACAGCAGAGACCATATAATCTGAACCAAACAGCAGGGTATGTCTTCTGTGAAGTGCACTTTGGATGACAGACCATAGAAGGGTGTGGTGTACTGGAAATTCCAGCTCCTTGTACCCACGTGGCCTTTGGCAAGCTCTATATGTCCTATTTGTTTGTTTGAAAAATAGGGAGAATTTTAGGAAATGTATAGTTGGGAGGATTCTAGGTAACATATGCAAAGTACTTAGTATATAGTAGTCACTTAATAAATGCAGTTATTATTGTAATAACTGATTGAGGCAGCCCTGGGAAAATCCAGGATGTATGAGAACTGTATGTATACAATTCTTTTATTTACATATTACCTATTACTCAAGGTCCACCTCAAAATCTTCCCATTTTCACCGTCTTTCATATTATCACGAGTCCATATTGATTTTTTTCCTTCTCAATAATATGCTTTCATCATATATTTTACTGGATTCTCTCCACTTTTTATATATAACTTTATATTGTCACTTCTAAGTCACTCCTACAAGACCTTTTCCTGAGCAAGAAAACAAGCCATGCTGCCTTAAAATCCCAAAGATGTAATACACTGTAAAAAACCTGGTAAGCACTTGAGAAATATATGCTAAGTTAATTGTGGTCCAAGTGGGATTTTGGGTTGGCCATGACTATAAATATCCTTCATACGCATGTGGACATTTCTTAAATTATCTTTTGGAGAAGGTCTTTTCGTATTTGCGTTTCACCATGATCTGTATGGAAAATGAAAATCCTATTTATGTCACAAAATTACAGTCGCTTTGTCTTTGTTGTTAAATATAGCCATGGCCCTGTGACGGTGGAGCATAGAGATGCAGAATCTGTGTGCTGAAATAAGGAGACTTCCCTGTTCATGGTAAATACAGTCAGCCACCATC